ACACGTGCTGGTGGGGTAGCGGCCTCCCCGGTACAAAGGCCGGTTGCTCTCGGGGAGGGAGAGACGGGAGGGGTTTCTGGCCTCGACGTGGAGCGGGCTTGCCCGGGAACTTCAGCCCCTTTTCAGGGCCCTTCCTCGCGAGCGCAAGCTTGGCGGATCCGTCGAGTGTGCCTACCTTTAATGGCTGATTTGCGTTAACTGAAGCTGTTTCTGCCCACGCTGCTTTCCCTGCTCCTCCCCAGGACTTGTAGGAGGAAAAGGCGGTAGCTTGTGCTGGTGGGCTGTTTCAGTGGCACGCCAAAGCACAAAGGCCTGCCAGTCACAATCGTTTGTTGCATTCAGCTAACAAATTTGAATATGCCGAAGCAAGTTGTTGCTCTGCGGTGGAAGGATAACTGCTTCTGGGTTTGCAGCAAAGGTCTACGTCTGTCTGGCGCTTGCTCAAAACCACTTAGTTTCTGTTAGGATGAGCAGCAGCAAGCCCCTGTTGTCCAAAGTGAAAGGCGACATTTAAGCCACTCTTTCTGCCTAGCAGGAATAACTGAAAGACGTTTATGTGTGTGCAGTATACTACTTGTGTACGTGGTATACTGTATTTGCATCACTGCATATCTTAGTTTGACGATACTTGTTTATTTTCCTTTTTTTTCCCCCCCCTTTATTGTTGAATAGACTCTACAATTGGTAGAAGCCTTTTTGGGCAGATGCTGCCTAGCTCATAAATCCTGCTGTTTTGGCTGTCAGTGCTGCCTTAACCATTTTTACAGAGTTGTGTCTTAAGTAAGCAGAGGGCTTCCTAAAATGCTAAGAGTTCAAAATTGGTGTAATATAAGCCATGTAGTATCTTGTTCAGTGACTTGCTTAACAGCAGCTAGTACAACTGTGTTTTTAAATAAAATGCGAGAAAACCCAACATATGCATCAGAATAAGAATCCCTATTTGGCTCTTCCAGATAACCTGCATGAAGGTTTATGGATCTTCCCTTGGTTTGGTTTTCTTTTTCCTAATAATAAGATTTATACCTATAGGAAAACGTAATAGTTATTAATCACAATGATTTTTGTCTGGTCACCTAAGCACATATTCAGTAGGGCAGGTAATACTTGTAGAAGACTTTTTCTTGGGCTTCTCAACTTGCCACTTTTTTGCACTTCTTTGGTAGGAGATGAGGAGCAATTTTATCAAATCATGCAATTTTTTAATATCTTTTTTTTTTTTTTACTTCAGGTAAAGTAGGCAGAAGGTCCCAAGGAAACATTTGAGATATAATGCATTAATTCTACAATACAGATGGTCCCAATGGCATTAATTTTAATAATACCACGCCAGTATCTGATATGGGTATTTTAGAGTGTTTGAAGTGATAAATGGTTCAAAGTAAGAAGCCCAAATAATTTATACCTTAAAGTTCTAAAAGAAGTGGCTTACTTGTCTGCCTCATTGATATTTTTCCTGTAATCCAATTATTTGAATAATTTCAGGATATATACATTCATTTAACACCCCAAGAATGGGAGGGATAGCCTGGGTATTTATAGGCCAGAAAGCTTAAAATTATTTCCCTGGCAAGTTTCTGGGAGACTGAATACAGAATTCACTCAGTGATGTGTAACTCCTGGTCAGTTCAGCTTTATCTATGCTCTCAGGTTTTGTCAAATAGACTCAACTTTTTTAATACTGAGTTTAGTTGAAAGAGACAAATATGTGTATATAATCAGACACCACAAATGTAGTTTGCAAGACATTCTGATGCCAAAGTAAAACAGCCTTTTTTAGAACACACTGAGCTGGCTGAGGCACCTTGTCCATTGTTAATAAGGGTTCCTTAGTCAAATGCTCCCGGGAAGTCAGAGTTGCAAGTCCTGGAACCAAGCCTTGTCATCAGTGACCAGCAAGTGAAAATGATAGTGCTGGAAAAAGTACTTTATAATAAAGTTTGGCAGAGTCATTTGGACTTCCTAGTAAGACATGCCTGTTCAAGCACAATGCACTTAGGAACAGCCAGATACCAGCCCTGCCTTGGGGAATTTGTTTCAAATCTAGCTGCTTCTGGCATACATGGAAGTGGACTTAAATGGTCTAGTCTCCTTTGTATGATTTTAGTTACAGTGCGTAGCTCTGAATTCCCCTCTTTTTCCATTTCTGATTGGGAAGAGCCTTGCTGCTTCTGTTTCTCTGTGTAACTTTTTTCTGGGCTTCTCTGAATCTCCTTCTACCCTATTATTTGAGACAGATTTTAAAGAACTGAAAACTATATTCCAGGCATGGGAACACTGTCGGTCGTGGTATAAAAATGCGTACTGTTTTCTTACGTGTTCTTTGTAAATCCTAATATTTGCCATTTTTCTTTTTTGTCACTGCATTTGAACGCTGAACTGCTATCTTCAGTGATATGTCCAAACTATGGGTCAGGGTTTTTCTATCAGCAGCTGATCAATTTAAGCATGATAATATGCTTTGGTATTTGTTTCCAGTGTGTTTTACTCTGCAGTTGCCTCCATGAATATTGCATGTTGTGTGCTCACCTCATATCTTGTTGGATCCAATTAGCAGCACTGGGAATGGTGTTTTGTAGCGTGCTTGCAAACTTTCTCTGTTGTGTAACCTGTTAATTAGATCACAGATTGTGTACACTTCAAAAATCTTCCTGCTTGTTTGCTCAGATTACTTGCTGTACCCAAGTAAAAAATGTTACAGAAATAATGCCACAGACGCTGACATTTGGAACAGTTCTGTGCCATAATTACAGACTCACTGAAGTAGGAAAAATCAGTGCATCTGTTTTGCAGGAAATAATCTTGAATATTAAGTGCGGATTTGTTGTATAATTTGTGTTCCCTTGAAGTTGAATGAATAACTCCAAATAGCTATCAGTGGTAAAATCTTTAAGGTGAGACTGACAGTGAAGTTAAGTTGGACGCCCTCCTTGCTCTTTAATTTCGGTATTTGAAATCATATTGACAGCTTGCGTTTAGAACAATGTAAGTAAATGCACTAATGGTATAGCTTTTACAGGTTGACTTTGTTGCTTCGCTTTCTTGTTTAAATAGAAACTACTATCTCTGTGGTATTTTTTTAACACGATAGCTGCTTTACTGATGATTTTACACATTTTAAACTTATGTAAGGATTGATAGGACTGATTGGAAATAAAAATTATTAATACAGTTTATATGAGCAGTAAATACTATTTGGAAAATGTCTGTGTCCTTGATTGCTGGTTCTGTGTTTTAATGTTATGCTTCTTTTTAGTGCTTCATTCAGGTAAATAACTTAGTTCAAACAAAAAAGTCATTCAAATTTTGCAAGTAACCTGTTTTCTTTGTGTTTGGTTTGTTTTGCTTTTCAGTCTCACACAATTCTACTTGTCCAGCCTACCAAGAGGCCAGAAGGCAGAACATATGCTGATTATGAATCAGTGAATGAGTGCATGGAAGGTGGGTGCAAACATGGAAGACAAAAACTGTTGTTAAAACCCCATTTTTGACACATTCTCAAACTTACTCAGTAAGAAAATAAGTTGTTGTTCATGTTTTCCCAAGGTAATTAACAAAAAAAAAGGCAAAAATATATCATGTTTTTCATTTACTAATGTCTTAGCAAACTAAAAATAACTATTCTTTGTTTCTAAAACTTCCTTTTTCTATTAAATGTCTCTTTTTGATTTAACTGAATTGAATCACATTCAGCTCATGAGAGTAGGTGTTGTTCTTAGTGGGGTCATGCAGCAGACTTGCCTGAATGCATTTCATTGCAGGATCAGAGCCTAACTCTCACTAATTTTTGTGCTAGCCATGTAAAGGAAAGATTGCTACTGGAAGTAATCATATATAAAATAAAAGTGTGTGTGCAATTGATACATAATTTGCAGCCTCGTGGTATGTGTGCCAGAAAAAAAAATCCTGTGTGACTTTGAGACACATAGTAACCTTGGAAAGAAGATTGAAATAGTACAGCTGTATGATTTAAATGTGGGAGTTCACTTAACAGGAAAAATTCTAATTCCAGGAAGTTTTGCAAGGCAAACAAAAACATAATAAAGACCACCTAAAGCCTCTGTGCTCACATTAGTATTATATTCTTCTCAAATGTATCAGAAATTTTTATAGCCTAGCTTAAATAAAACTGATGTAAATTCATATATAGGCTTGTGCTGTCACTCTTGCCACAGTAGCCCTGTTTGACACTCTCATCAAAAATGATTTCATGAGATTTGAGTAGTAGCTTTGTTTGCTATTAGTTCTCTTTCTCAGGTGCTTGTATAACAGGAATATATGTTGCAATTGCTGTCTTAAAATTATTAGAAGGAATTTTAGATTTCCATTGGAGCTTACTGCATGGAAAGTTCCATCTTTGACAGAACTAAAACTTTTTCCTCTAGATTATGATAATGCTTCTTTCCATGCATCTTACCTGATTTTATAGTATTTTGCTTTTGTTCTAGGTATTTGCATTGAAACATTTAAACTGTGAAATCTAAGAAGTTTATGTCTATGTTTTCATGGTAGCCATCTGTCAACCTACCTGATATCTGTGGTTCCATATCTGAAGACATTTCAGTAAATATAGTTGTTGGTTTTTTTAAGATTGCATTGTTAATCTTGTTTCTCTGTAGGAGTCTGTAAAATGTATGAAGAGCATCTGAAGAGAATGAATCCCAACAGTCCATCCATTACATATGATATCAGCCAATTGTTTGACTTCATTGATGACTTGGCAGACCTCAGCTGTCTTGTGTAAGTGCAGTTGTACAAGTCCTTTTTGGTGACTTAGAGAAGGCAGAAGTCGTCCATGTAAACTCTTACATGTTTTCTGTGAAATCTGGTGAAGTTCTGGGGTTTTTTGCAATACCCGTGTTAGTAAGGCAGCAGTATTGCAGCTGGCATGCCGTGTTCCCCGCTCTCATTAACTGCATCGGAATAAAGAATTTCTAAAGGAAGGTTAGAAACTGATGGTTCCACTTGGATTTTAGTCACATTGAAGCTCTCAACATTTTAAATACTGAAGTGCAACAGTCTAATACAGCTACATATTTTATTAATGCTAGAATCCGTTTAAATTGAGGCTGTATCTGCCTTTGTGCAGTTGGTCTGATTCTTAAGGAGGCAGAATGATTATGGAATTTTATTCAGCTGAGGGCTGTACTAGTGGTACAGTAGAAGTCTATAGAAGTGCAGTACAGCCAACTTTTTATTTTGGACAAGATAAGCAAGATGGAAGTTTCTGTAAATCCTGGTGAAGTGATTGAGGAGCAGATCAATCCTCCAGAGCGCCCTAGCTAATTGCTTAAGTGTTCCTGTAAATACATTTCCAGTTCTTGTCTGTGTTGAGGTTGTGGGCAAGCAAAGGTGTGGTTTTGTGTACTTTCCATTCTGACTGCACTGTGATATCAAATGTTAAATCTCACTATTCAGCACATAACGTTGTAACTAAATCACTTGGTCCAGATCATGAGTACTTTCCATACCATAAATATTAAGGTAATGGTTTGATATGACAGTGGTATTAAATTTGCAGTAATTCTGTAGGAATAATAATACAAATCTCATATTCAAATAACAAAAGACATAATATTTGGCTTTCTAAGCTCAAAATTCCAGAAACATTTTAAGCTGGTGAGTGAGTGGTGTGGACGTTCCTGCAGCTGCGCTGCTCTGTCTGAAATCCCAGTGCAAGTACTTGTGCAGCTGCACAGTGAACAACCTTTTCCAGTTAATTCCAGATTAAAAAAAACGCCGACAACCTATTTTTAAAAAACCTGAGCATCAGATTGCTTTCCTTTGCATTCTGATGTACATACAGAATGTATATTACTGATAGTGACTTATTACAAATGCCATTTACCAAAGTTTTCGGTAGAATACGTAAAACAGGATTACAGTTTCTGCATAGTTACCTTGTTTGTGGTATTCTGTCACGTTTGATCTTCAGGTGTCATAGTGCTGGTCTAATGCAGTTTGAAAGTCACACTTTGTTCTAGTTTATCTAACAGACTGAATCTAGCTGCTTGCTTTAGGAGGTAGCAACTGTTTTCTAGGACAGTCTTGTGCCTTTCTTAATTATGCTTGTAAACTCAGTGTCACGCCAAATTTTACTTCAGCTTATAGTTTTCCACCAGATGGCACACATAGCACGTAGTGTACCAGATACATCTTGTATTTGAGGAGATTCTTAAAGTACTTGCTATCTGGTCTGGCAGTGTAACATTACGAATGGATTGGGATGGAGGTGGAAATCAGTAACTTTTCCTGAAACTAACGTTTCTTATACTGCACTGGAACTACTGTTAACTACTACTATATCAATATATACTGAAACTTTTTCTATGGCCTTGAACCAGTTGTGCCGGGTTTTAAATAACAAGGTTATCTTAGAAACAGTATGCTTAGGGTTTTTTCCTTAGGTAAGACCTGTAAATTATTCTGGATTGAGTTAACACTGGATTTTTACTTAGCTTCTTACCAATGACCATCTTGCCCTTCAACTTCAATGGCTAAGGGGAAAGGAGAGTATGAATCTACACAGATAACTTCACGCCATTTGCTTTCATTTTTTGGTCTAATTCTGCTCTAATTCAACAGTGTCTTAAGTAACTGAGTTCTCCAGCCCTAACAAGAAATCTTGCTAGTGGACTACTTTTATCAACTATTCCTGATTAGCAAAGAAAATGCATCTGTGCGTTCTTGTTTTCAGTTTGCTTTTTATGAAGAGTCCTTGTTTGTTAGATGTAAGGTTGCCATCACAGTCAACTGGCAAGAATCCTTTGTCATCTGTCTATGAGTCTCCCTTCGCTCCTGGAAAATTGTGGTTTTATTCATTTTCTAAAAGTTCCAAACAGAAGTGGAACACTTGAAAACTTACATGAAGTAAAAACTAACATGAAAACTTGCTTGAAGTGGTGTTAAAGAAGAGTTTGGCTCATTAAGGCAGACTAGATTGTTTCCTGGTGGAACTGTTCTTCATTCTCCAGAATATTAAGGTGCTCCATTTGTTGTCTGCCATGACTAATTATGTTCATGAATTAAAATGTGGACACATTGTCATCCAGTCACTCAGTAGTCCTTGGAGCATCTAGTTTTATTTCAGGTTCTTACTGATCTGCTGGGTAACTTGTATTTAGGGAACAGGATACATCTCTTTAAGTGACAATTCTCATCTACTTCTGATACTACTTGTGTTCTGTACGCAACTTGCTGCCTCATACGCTTAAAGACACTTAATTGTTTGTGAAGTTCTTCTGGTAGATGTTCTGCAGGGCAGACTCATACTACATTCATTCTTTTTTCTCTCTCTAGTTACCGTGCTGATACTCAGACATACCAACCGTACAATAAAGACTGGATAAAGGAGAAGATCTATGTCCTCCTTCGCAGGCAGGCCCAGCAAGCAAGCAAATAATGGGGGCACCATCATTACATGGGTTTGGGGGAGGGTTTGGACAACAGGTGTGTACAGAGTGTGGTAGTGAACGTTTTGTATTATAGTCATCCTGTTGCCATCTTGTTAAACTCTTTAGCCAGGACTGAATGTATTGTTAGAGATACAAGGATTTTGTTGGATTTGACTTTTTTTCAGTGTAAATGGAGAAGAAAGTGCAACATCTTCAGCTGAGTTTTCATTTGTCTTTTTTCCTCTGGTTAGCTAATGGTCCTACCTTGTTTGAACCCCTGGGGCTGTTCACATTGTACTTCGCCACATTCACTGTATGTGCCCTTCTGTGGGGTTTCCAACATTTAGTTATGTCCTTGAGACGGTCTTAATGGGGAATAAAAAACTACCCTTTAGTTAAACTTGAGTGCTGAATTTTGTGGGGTTTGCCAAACAACAAATTTAAATCTTTCTTGCCTGTTTGCCAAAGAACAGGGCTTGAAGGGTTATGTGGACTTTGAACCAACAGCTGTTTGCTGTGTTACAGAATGGCTCAAATTCTGGCCTGCCAAATTAACTTTGCTGGCCTAGTCTTGACTGCTGTCTTTCCTGGGGACCTTTGGGAAAGATAGCAACCTTCTTGCACTCTAAACTTCATCTTTCTACAAGGCATTTATATTCAGGTAAGTTTGTCTGCTCTGGGATAGGTGACGGGTAAGAGCAGGCTGAATATATCACATCACAGACCCCATGAATTAGTCTACTTCCAGCCTTCCCCTGATAAGGGAATAGGCAAAGCAAATAGTTTTGATTGGAGTCTGCCTCAAACTGCGTTTTCTCTTCATAAAGGATAAGGACTTAACTGCTTGCACATGCTGTAAAATTAGATCTTGAACACTGATGCCTGTGTAATTTTGCTGTACTGAAAAAGTTTGGATTGGAGGACATGAGGCCAAAAATACAGCAGGTAGAAAAGCAAGGTTGGCTTGGTACTTTGTGCCTTTGGGTTAGTCTAGAGTTTGTCTACTATAGGTGCAGATTTGAGTCTTAGACTGTACAGGTATAGTCAACCAGGAGCAGTTCCAGGATTAACAGAGGAATGCAGTTCTCTCCGGTGCACTTAACTTCCTAATACACATCAGTAGTTTCTCATGGATCTCACAGCAAATGGATTGGCTTACAAGAATGTGAGGTCAAATTGACTGTCTATAGTAAAGCTGTAATGAAAATAGCTTCACTGAAATGGTAAGAGCTGCTGAAGACCTGGAATCAAATTACTGAAGAGACAGAAATTCTTAGAAAGCTGTTGGGAGGGCGTGTTAAACTTTTTTCCAAATACGAATACAAATTGGAGATGAGACCTACTGGCTGTGCAGTTGTAGTTACCAGGAATCAGATTCAATCTGTTAACATCAAAACATTCTTCCTTTATAATAAATAGTGGTTTTTTAAAACATAGTAGGTCAGAACTCTATTAATCCACTTAAGGTTACTTAAATTTGTAAATACTTCTGTATGGAAGCTTTATATTCAAATGCAGCTTGACACAGTAAGTAAAATTTACAAAATATGCTCTTTTGTCATATAATAACATTCAGGTTTCATATAAGCAATGTTATTTAATCAGCTTGGACAGCTTATCGTCCTGTATAGCAAGTAGTAAAATAACATGTTCTTATCCTAACATGTTTGAGGTTTACTGCTGGTAAATGTTTACAACTTTTTGGTAAAAATTCCAGTATTCTCATGGTAGATCACTCAAGGTGTTAAGTAGGATGCAATTTTGCAGTCTTTAAATGAAGGCAAATAAACATCCCTGCTCACATTAAAAATACCAATTGAATATTTTCCTCATTCTGTGAGTTTGTTTTCAATTTAAGGAAAACCAGTCATGTGGGCTCTTTCCTGACTCTGAAAACTGCTGAATCTATGCTAATTGGGAACTTGGACCATAACACAGCTCTTCCTTCAAAGATAACCTAATGTTTCATCTAATAAAGTTATTATTCTTTCTTGGGTTTGGTTCTGGTATAATAACTATGCAAACTAAGACCAGTAAACAATAAGTAATTTCTCATGTTAAAGCAGAAAATGGGAAGAAGGTGCTTTAAAGCAGACAGTAATAAATGTTTCTTCTTTACAAAAGGGACTTTGTGAAGGTATGTATGTTTTTGAAAAGTAGAAGGTAAACAAGCTTTAACTTTGAGGTTAATTCACATGAGACTTTTAGTTTTGGTGGCTTTTTTAAACTTAAACTTCTGTGATCATCTCAGTAATGGAAGTTTTCATGGAATTGGAAAATGCAAGTAAATGTTCCTTTTATACCTCTGGAGCCAGACTGCCTTCTGCTGATAGAAGGATACTGTTTGTAGCCCACTTTAAGAGAAGGGACTTGGGCATCATCTCTCATTTCCCCTTTGTCACCCAGCTGCAAGTCTTTTTTTTTTTTCCCCTGAAATAAGCTACTAGTTAAAACTCTGTAGTGCATAGTTCTTGTATAGTTCTTGAGCTGCTGTTCTCCATATTACTTCAGAGTTGCCATTCGCTTTATTCATGAAACAGGGTTGTTGTTTAACCCAGCAGCTGACTGAATACGCTGGAAGAAAAAAGATGCTGCAGCATCTACCTGATGTGGAACTGGTTAGCAAGAAGAATCTGGAAGGTTGTGTCCAACTACTCGCTGCCTTCAGAAACAGTGAAGAGGGTTGTGAGCATTGGAAATGTATAATGTAGTAGTAGACGTCCTACTGGCCCTCAGGTAATGTCTGCTCTAGCAGGCCAGGTGAAAAAATACTCTGCAGTTTGCTACTTGGCTCCTTTCCGGTAAAGGATGACAGCGGTGTGTTCAGGACTTTCTCCAGTTGCACCTGTCCTTAGAGGCGTAAGACAGCACTTCTAAGACATATCAAACATTTGCCTGAGTTCAGGTATGTCAAATGTGAGGTTTGTCAGCAGCGTTTTGCAAGCGAAGCCACAAACAAATTGCATGATCACCACAAGTGTTAGAAAAGAACCTGTCACCGCATGTGTGCTTCACCTGTGGCAGATTGTCTGGTGCTTCCTGCATAAGGGCTAGGTAGAAGGAAGTAGCAGTGTTGGTCATACGTGCTACAGTGTGGGAGTAAAGGATAAAGTAAATCATACTGGCTGTTTCTGCAGGAGAGCGGTGCGGCGTTGTAAAACAGGGATAAAGAATGGAATTCAGAGACCTAGTATTTCCAAGTGTGAAAATAATTAATTTTTTTAAAGCAATCCCATGAAGCAAACCCAGCCTCAGTTCAGTGAGACGTACGAGCCCTCATCCATGACCAGGAGTACAGAGCAGCCAAGGCACTTGCCTGACTTCAGCTTGGCTTGTGGAGCTGTGAAATGTGCTGCGTCTTTTCTAATCATGGAATAGACAAGTCCTCGTGCAGTCTCTGGACTGCCTGCTGCTGCTTTCAGGTTGCGGCATGACCAGAATGGTACAACTCATTCCTTGGCATGGCTGTTTGCTAAGTAAATAGGTGAAGTTCTGCGCGATGACCGAGCTGATCTAACAGTTCACTCCTTTTGGAAGGCATAACGCTGCTCTGCGCTACGTACAAAAGAGACGTTGGGCGTTGTGGGGCGTGGCAGAACAGGACGGCCAAGCAGCACCAACAAGCGGAGAAGCTGGTCACTTAAAAAAAAAATCTCACCTGAGGCTTTGAGAACAAGGTCAACCATGGTACATGCTGTGGCAGAAAACAGTAGATAAATTGCCATATATATATATATAAAGGACCAGTTTATCTACTGTTGCATGCTTCTATGAGTCAGTAATGCACTGGGGCAGGGGACGATGCCTGGCGCTATCCTATAGCTTACTTTAATTAATCCTTTGGTACAAAATCTTGCAGCCAGTTCAAGGACCTAGGTCTGATGTAACCTCACTCGGATTAGAATTTGAGTTGTATTTGACACCACAATAACAACAGGATCACTCTCGTACGGGAATCTCACGTTGCAGCCTCCTTCAGCATGCTGAAGGGGATTGTGAAAAGCAAAATTGAGTCTGTATTCCTGCTTTGATGGTGAAATAAGCTAGGTAGTTGAAATACTCATCTACAGTTCCTTCCATCATCACATTCTTTTAAAATAGTCTGAAATCATGACATCCATCACAACATTTCATAAGCGCAGCAGGAAAGTAGCATCCCCATCATTACATCAGTCTGTTCTTGTGCTTAACACGCTTCACACTGTCGCGTACAGCAGGGAAAAAGTAGTAGCCAAGACCACCTTGTTATCTTTCTTGGCAACTAATATACATGCTTTTAAAAAACCTGTTTACAGCAAGAGGAGACTCAACACTCATAGTATTTTTTAGGTTGGAAGAACCGCCAGATTTTTCACTGCAGAAAGGTAAGAAAGTTACGAAGTTGCTGGTTGTAATGGCATTACCATATGCCAGGCAATGAGCTAGTTCGTGATGCACTGAAAGCAAGGATGCTCCCTAGGATGACTTCCTCTCGGAGGGAGGAGACGAAACGCTCCAGCTACTTTGCTTTAGAGCACATAAACAGTTATGTACATTTGCAATTCCCACTGAGTAATGGCCTGATTGTGCTGGAACTCAGCTACGTTGGAAACTCAAACAATCCATCAAGGAAGTTAATAAACAGTGAAAAATCAAGGGTAGCTGGATTACAAGTACAAAGTAATTTCAAGCTCCTGTTTTTCAACTGCTATGAAACCATTAAGTGTCTGCTAGACCCTGGAGAGCATTAAAACAAATAAATGATAAATTCTCTGTCTTACCATTATCAGGGGTTGGGGAGGGGGAGTATTTGCGGGGCCAGGGAGCATAATTTAGCAATTCTCCAGCAGGGGACAGGGCATGGCTGAGGCCAGTAACCAAGTCTGAGATTCTCACTGAGCATCTGAACCACTTGCCTTAGGTACCCGCTTTCCCTTGAGGTCTGGAGTGCTGACTTCAGTATTTGTCTCAAAATAAAATGATCAATAACTTGTGCTAGCTATACATAAATTGCAAGAGGAAATCTGTTGAAAGAGAACGTTATTTTAAAGCTCTGCCATATTAGTCAATTCTCTGAGGTTTTCTACACTGAGCATCTTGTCTGCTATAATGTTACTTAGCGTTGGCTGAATATAACACACCATTCACTGAAGTAGCAGGGGAATGAATTTGCTACTGAAATACATGAAATGGAGATGTTTGGGGTTGTGTAGTACAAGGCAGCTCTCCATTCTGACCCATTAATAAATGCTTCATCCTCACTATGTCTGAAAAGGATCGAAGCTAAAGTAAGCCCCATCTGGATTTGTTACAGGGAAGCATCATATTCTAGCAATTTTCTTGTTGCTGTAGTCTGAATTGTGTCTGTATGAACAGTTTATCTGGATGAGGTTTGGGCACAGCTCCAATTTATAGGTTTTA